GGGTTAAGAGTAAGAGGACATATAAAGAGACAGTGTCTTGTTGTCCAAAAATAGAGTACGGCGACGCGAGAAGACATAAACGTTAAGATTGAAACTTGAATTAACCAACATCAGAAATATAGCTTGACAGATCTTAAAAGATGGATTGAGTAATAAATATATTGATTATAAATATATTTTCTAAGAAAAACAATTTTCAAAAACAACATTCATTTAACAAAAAGAGATAAAAGAACTCAAAAGATAGAAAGTAAGAAAGAGATAAATGGGATCCACTTTATTTTGTTTAATTGAAAGATGTGTGGTTATCCGTAAAAATCAGATGTGAAATAAGTTAAAGTGATATCAATTACTTACTTTGTAACTAGGAAACGAAATTAGTTAGGAAAAACTACCTTAATAGCACAAACTGTCCTAGAATGTAAAATAAAATTAAAACTGCCTCTGAGTGTAAAATAAAAATCAAAAGTACCTCAGTAGTTTGTTGTAAACTTCCAAAACTCTAATATAATCTAATGCGTGATTAAAAAAAACAATTCGAAATATAGACTAGTTTTATTTTGACGGTGACGGTTGGGTGGATATCTTCATGACTTAAAAGTCTAGTGTGTTCTTAGTGATAATTGATCATCATCATGAAAATATCAAAAATAGACGATAACTTAACATGAGGTACTTAATCAGTTTTAGTTTATTCTTTCAATCAAATTCGAATATGAAATTACATTCAAAAATATAATATGCATTTTAGATCTTTTACCATACAACTAAATATTGAACGTTTAACCAAAATAACTAAAAGTTTAATTCACATACATATATAAATAATGGGAAAATCGCATTTTAAACCCTGAAGGTGACACATACTAGCATTTTAAACACTCAACTTTTTTTACTAACACTTTAATACCTCAAACTATCAAAACTGTCGAAACAAACACTGAAGTCGATTCCCGCGTTTTTCGCGAAACCCTACTTGACGGCTCCGTTGACGACGTTGACCTAGCCAAAATCCGTGCCGTTCTGTTNGGGAAAATCGCATTTTAAACCCTGAAGGTGACACATACTAGCATTTTAAACACTCAACTTTTTTTACTAACACTTTAATACCTCAAACTATCAAAACTGTCGAAACAAACACTGAAGTCGATTCCCGCGTTTTTCGCGAAACCCTACTTGACGGCTCCGTTGACGACGTTGACCTAGCCAAAATCCGTGCCGTTCTGTTGATTAAAAAACGGGAGCCGTAAATTTTTTTAATTTTAACTTGTCTTCTTCCCAAATCGATTTGGGGATCTAGGGTTTCATAAAAAAAAAACACAAGAGAAGATTTGAAAGACGAAGAACGAGAATCATCAGTGAGAAGGACACAATTTCATGAGATTCAGCGTAAATGGGGTAACCTCATTGTCATTCTTTGTTCAGATTTTTCGTATATGAAAGTTTGTCTTTTTAAAACTGCTAAAGCGTTCATCTTTGGTCACAGGGAGTCAAAAGAAATCAAACTGAAGATCCATTTTGGTGGCTCAATGAAGAAGATAGGTGAAGATTATGAGTATTTGGATGAATTAGGGATCAGAGAAGTAGAGTGGAAGGTTAATGAGATAGTGTGGGAGAGTTTCGTTGTTTTCTTCAAAGAAGACTTGTTAATTAGAGCACCACTTTCTTTGATTTGGTTTAAATCCGAGAATGAGGAAATGAAGAAGCTGAGGTATGTTTATGATAGCCTCGATGCAGAGATAGGTATGCTGCGATCTCTTGGCAATTCAGAGATCGATGTTGTTGAACATGAGTGCTCAGAACACGTACCGGGTGTGATTCATTTACGAAGCGAACAACAAGATGATGTGGATGGTGGTGATGAAGAGGAGGAACACAGTGAGAATGATGAAGTTGATAGGCCTAGAGAAGATGACGAGCCCCAAGAATCAGAGGATGAGAATTCAGCTGAAAAAGAAACAGTTATAGAAGATAATCCGGCTATGAACGTGACTGACAATGAAACTGTCGCTGATGAGAACCTGAATGATAATCAAGATGGTGGTGATGACGTTGTCATTGAGGAACCTGATGGTAGTAATGATGCTCGGTTTCAGACAATCTTTGAGGAAGGTTTAAAAAGTGTACCAGATAAAGAAGCATATGGTTTACAAGAAGAAGAAAAAGATGATGATAGTGAAGATGAGAGTGTACCAGTGGACGTTGAGTATCCAGATACACCAGTTGATTCTGAAGATGAGTGGGACGAATGGCACAGAGAGCGCAGGGGAAAAGGAAAGGTGAAAGGGAATGATAAGTACCATGGTGACTTTGATAAACCGCCTTATATTTGGCTATTTCAAAAGTTCAACAGTGGGTTAGAGTTTAAAGACCAGCTCTTGAAGTATTCGATGAATACTCAATATGATGTGAAGATGTCAAGGTCGGAGTCATTTAGGATTGGAGTGATTTGCTGCACGGAAAAATGTAACTTTCGAGTTTATTGTTCAGTAGAGAAGCCCATTAACAAGTGGATGGTGAAAGTTTGCCACATGAAACACAACCATAGTAAATCAAGCAGGATCTCAATGTTGAAGCAGGGTGTAATTGCTGGGTTATTTAGAGAGGAATTACGCAGGAATGTCAACCTACAAGCTTCAGCAATTAAAGATGCTATCAAGATAAATTATGACATCGTTGTACCTTTGTCTAAGTGCTATAGAGGCAGACACATAGCCTTGCAGAGTATCTTTGAAGCGCAGGCAACACAGTTTGGGAAGCTATGGGACTACGAAGCAGAGTTGCGTCGATCAAACAATGGTATAAAGACGGATTTATGCACTAGAGAGGTTAATGATGTCCAAATGTTTGACTGCTTCTACATTTGCTTTAAAGAATTACGTACTGCTTGGAAGACTTGTTGCAGACCTGTTATAGGGCTTGATGGATGCTTCTTGAAGTGGGATTTAAATGGAGATTTGCTTGCAGCAGTTGGGAGAGATGCTGACAACAGGATGTATCCCATTGCATGGGCAGTTGTAAGAGGAGAAAACAAAGACACTTGGGGCTGGTTTGTGAGAAAGTTGAAGACAGATTTGGGTTTGGGATTTGGGAAGGATTTAACCATAATTTCAGATAAGCAAAAAGGACTTGTTCATGCTATCGAGTTAGAACTTCCGCTAGCAGAACATCGCATGTGTGCTAGGCACATTTATGCGAACTGGAAGAAACTTGGGTTCTCAAGATCAGAGTATAAGTCATTGTTTTGGGGGGTTGCATACAGCTACACAGAGGGAGAGTACAAAGAAAAATTGCGTTTGGTAGAGCAATACGACATTGTGGCACACCAAGAATTACTCAACACAGAACCAGAGCGATGGTGTAGAGCATTCTTCAACGTTGAGTCTCACTGTCCCGACGTCCATAACAATTTATCTGAAAGTTTCAACCGAACCATCAAGATGGCGAGAGCAAAACCGGTGATTAATATGTTGGAAGACATACGCAGACAAGCAATGAAGAGGATTTCAAGGAGGTTCCTTATGGCAGATAAGTTTGACACAATGGTAACACCTATTACAATGGCTTTGTTAGAGAAAGCAAGATGTGCGAAAAAATATTGTTCAACAATACGCAGCAGTTCAAGCTTGTATGAGGTGGATGATTCAATCAATGGGTACACGGTGAACTTGGCATCACATCAGTGTGCTTGCAGGCGATGGGATCTTACAGGTATTCCTTGTAAACATGCTGTGTGTGTGCTTGATGATAACCAAGAGGATCCTGTGAAGTATACTGCAGAGTATTACTACACACATATGATGAAGAAAACTTACATTGACAATATCAAACCTGTCAATGGTGAAAGTTTGTGGAAGAAAACAGGAAAACCACCAATCGGAATACCAGAGATTAGGAAGCCAAGAGGTAGACCAAAGACCCGAGACAGAAAAAAAGAACCATTTGAAGCGCTTGAAACTGCTGGAAAATCCACAAGACATGGAAGAGTACCCAAATGCAGCAATTGTCTTCAGACTGGACATATTAAAAGTGGCTGTAAAAACCAATCTGTGGTTTATGAGGGGCCAAAAAACAAGCGTGGTCGACCTCGTAAGAATCTACAAGAGGTAAATTTTTAGATTTTCATACTTTTACAATTTGTATGCAGGATTTCTCTAACATATTTCTTTATATTCTTCATTCAGGGTACGCCTAAGCCTCCTTCTACAAGAAGAAGAAAAACACAACCTACTGAATCCTTGTCTCAGCCTGTTCACACCAGTGGACCTTCGTCTCAGCCAATTCATGCCACTGAATCCTCCTCTCAGCCAGTTCACGCCACTGGATCCTCCTCTCAGCCAGTTCACGCCACTGAATCCTCCTCTCAGCCAGTTCACGCCACTGGATCCTCCTCTCAGCCAGTTAATGAATCCTTGTCTAACCCAAAACCTCATGCTAAGAAAGCTTCAAGAGGCCAACCTTTGAAGATAAGGAAAACAGGAAGCATTCCCCATGGTTTTGGAACTCTGTGGAGTCCATTTACAAATCGCCCTTTTCAAGTATTTGGAGATCGTGTGTATGATAGGTCCAAACAGCCTCTTCCTCAGTCTCCTCCGCATGAGTGATCTAATGACTTGATGTTGTTTGTCTTTTAAAGTGGTTTGCCTTTTGTTGTTTCAAAAACATGATGTCATTTGCCTTTTGTTGTTATGAAAGACATATTTGTTCTAAACTTTGTTGTTTCAGAAACTTGATGTCATTTCCCTTTTGTTGTTATGAAAGACGTGTTTGTTCTTTGGTTTTCTAATGTTTTCACTCGTGATCTATAACAAAATACATCATAGAAATAGAACTTAAATAGTCTTACAAACTTTGATTACAAGATAGAAATAGAAATTGAAATAGTCTTGCCACTTCCATTACAACATAGAAACAGAAACTGAAATAGTCATAAGAACACTGCCATTACACACCAATAACCACAGTGAAATAGTCATAAGAACACTTCCAACACTAGCCTTTTACCACTTCAAGATACCCATGAACACACCAATAACCACAGTGAATCCAATAGACGACGTGATAAGAACGTTGCGATACACCATACTTCTCTCGTTTAGTATTAAGACCTCTCTTTTGAGTGCTTCAACCTCTCCTTTGAGCGCTTCACATGCTTCAGCCTCTCCTTTGAGCGTTTCACATGCTTCTAGTGTTCTGTTGGAATCAGATGGAGCTTGTCCAATGCTTTCGTTTTCAAGGCTAAGTGCTCTGACTTGGCTTTTCAAGCTATTAATCTCTTCCTTCTGTTGGCGGATAACATCTCTAGCACCCAACAATGCAACATACTGCCATCCATGTGGCTTCTCAACATCATACCAACGGAAGAAGTTACAAGAATCATACCCAGTAGACACCTTACGCCCTTGACAGCTGTAAAACCTTCTTCCTGGGTTGTCTTCAGTCCAAGCTTGAACCACCTTTGCTTTTCGGTTACAATTACAAACCACAACTTTTTCGATTTTGTTGTCAATGGCAGAAGAACTCGAACTTTGAGCCATCTGCAACATATAAACACCACATACATGATTCTGACACTAATGCCATTGATTATATTCCCTAACTGAACGATTTCCAGAAAATTTAGTGATTGGAAATGATGCTTACATGACTTACGAACTAAGAACGTTTTCTAATTTAGATTCTCGAAAAGATTAAAGAGATGAGATGACTTACTGTGTTCGAATTTGGATAAGGTGATTCTCGTTCTTCGTCTTTCAAATCTTCTCTCGTGTTTTTTTTTATGAAACCCTAGATCCCCAAATCGATTTGGGAAGAAGACAAGTTAAAATTAAAAAAATTTACGGCTCCCGTTTTTTAATCAACAGAACGGCACGGATTTTGGCTAGGTCAACGTCGTCAACGGAGCCGTCAAGTAGGGTTTCGCGAAAAACGCGGGAATCGACTTCAGTGTTTGTTTCGACAGTTTTGATAGTTTGAGGTATTAAAGTGTTAGTAAAAAAAGTTGAGTGTTTAAAATGCTAGTATGTGTCACCTTCAGGGTTTAAAATGCGATTTTCCCNAACAGAACGGCACGGATTTTGGCTAGGTCAACGTCGTCAACGGAGCCGTCAAGTAGGGTTTCGCGAAAAACGCGGGAATCGACTTCAGTGTTTGTTTCGACAGTTTTGATAGTTTGAGGTATTAAAGTGTTAGTAAAAAAAGTTGAGTGTTTAAAATGCTAGTATGTGTCACCTTCAGGGTTTAAAATGCGATTTTCCCTATAAATAATTAACAGTCAGAGCCCTCAACTTTTTCTCTTGGTCCTTCTTTTTTCATCGATCAAACTCTTTAACTTTTAGTTTGAAAAGAAATCTAGAAAGTATCCAAAGTAATTTAACAATTTGCATAATTTACTAATGATTTGCGAAGTAACTAACAAAATATCAAAATTGTAATAGTCTGCCACATGTAGAACAGGTGACAGGTGACAAGAGAATAGATACTTTGCTTGAGTAGAGCGAGTGAGTGGAGCCCATAAATGGGCCATGGGCCTACCAAAGTTCTCAAACACTTTCTTCTTCCTCTTTATCGTAAATTTCAAAATGCAAAAACATAGACAAAACTTCGAAAAAGATATTATTCCCCTCTCACTTTTGTCTCTGTTGAGTAACGATCAAGCCGCTATTTCTGAACTAATCTGACGGCTTAAGTTGCCCGTCTGGACCCCATAGGTTAATCATGACCGTCGGATAGATAAAGATGTTTGGTCAAGTTGACGTGGACCCACGAAAGGCAATGTGGGTCCGAGGATTTTCGAAGCACCGACGCTTCTTTCTCCGTATATACGGTCCACCTAGACACTTATTTAATTATATTAGAGATTAGTTATCTACAAATAATCGTAATGAAAATTTTCACTTTTATCATGATCACCAAAAGCAACGCGTATTAACTTTTCAAAAATCAAATTTAAGAATTTGAGACCGGAAACAGAACATACTGATTAAGTAATGTCTTCACCGTTTTTTTTTTTTAAATTAAGAAATTAGGGAATATATACGAGAGTCATGAAACTGAGAGTCTACACTATTTCCAGTAACTATAACTTACAAATAGTTATATCCAGATAACGTAATAAACTATGAGAACAATATAATAAAATGGACATGGAAGCATAATAATTTAATTTTTGTCACAAGCATAATAAACTATCTAAGACTATATAATTACAGTTTAAATAAGATCCACCTGCGCTATAAGCGACCAAAATGAATAATTAAAGTTCAGATAGATACAATGAAACTAATTATTTGTTAAACTGGTGATATTTTCTTAATTCTAAAAACAGCAGTATTAAACAAAATTAAAAGTAAAATAAAAAAAACTAATTTGTAAGTGTGAACTAACTTAAGTAAGTATTGTAGAAGTGGTTTTGAGTGAAGACAGCAATCCCGAGGCGAAGGGTCCTCTTCTTGCTTCCTTCTTATTCACACCCCAACCCCCAAACTCTTCCTTGCCTCATCTCCTCTCTTTCTTCTCTCTCTAGATTTTGCTCATGAACTTATCTTAAGTTTTCACTCTCCCAAAACCAAACAAATAAAACAAAACACAACATGGGTCTCACTTCTCTTCAAGTTTGCATGGATTCTGACTGGCTCCAGGTATCTCCAGTTAGGCCTCGGTTATCTGTATTTGCCTTTGCATTTACGCTTAAAGTTAGTGTATATTTTTTATCCAAGAACATATATAACATTAATTTTAACACAATTATTTTGTTAATTGTAAAGGTTAAAATCATATGCAAATGGAAGATCTACATATACGTTTGACATTTTTGTTTACACTGTAAAAACCGGAAAAAAAAAACTTTTAGTACATGTGATTTTTGTTTCTTATTAATACATTCTTATCAAATGTCTCATGTGCCAAAAAATAGGGTTGAAACAATTTTAAAACCTTACTCATCTCGAACCATTGTTATTTGGCGTGCGAAACAATGAATTCTAGCATTTAAAGTACGTTTCTATTGTGGTGAATTTAGGTCTTTAAATTGTTTGAAACTTATAATAAGGAAAACGATTATATATATCTTAAACTGTTACTCATTTTGATATGGTTTTGTAACTTGTAATATCAGGAAGCTGAGTCATCAGGAGGAAGCATGTTAGACTCTACAACGACTTCTCCATCAGCAGCCGACATACTAGCTGCTTGCAGCACTCGACCACAAGCCTCGGCCATGGCTGTAGCCGCTGCTGCTCTGATGGACGGTGGAAGGAGGCTGCGTCCACCTCACGACCATCCTCAGAAGTGTCCTCGCTGCGAGTCAGCACATACTAAGTTTTGTTACTACAATAACTACAGCCTCTCTCAGCCTCGTTACTTCTGCAAAACATGTCGCCGTTACTGGACCAAAGGCGGCACTCTAAGGAACATTCCGGTCGGTGGTGGCTGCCGGAAAAACAAGAAACCCTCTTCCTCTAATTCTTCATCATCCACTTCTTCCGGGAAAAAGCCGTCCAACATTGTTACCACTAATACCCATGACCTAATGGCTTTACCACATTCTCATCAGAATTACCAAACTACCCCTCTCGGGCTTTCACATTTTGGTGGGAATGGGATGATGGGGTCTTCTTACACAGGTCTTGGTGATCATAGTAACGTTGGTTTCTTGGAGAGCAAGTATGGCGGTTTGCTTTCACCGAGCCCTAGACCTATTGCTTTTTTGGACAGTAAGTTTGATCTCATGGGAGTGAACAATAACAATCTGGTCATGGTTGATCATGGAAGTAACGGTGATCATTATAATCATCACATGGGTCTAAATCACGGATTAGGTCTTAACAACAACAACAATGATGATGGTGGTGGTCTCATGGATATCTCTACAAGCCAGAGACTTATGCTAGCTAATTATGACCATCATCATTATACTCATCATGAAGATAATCAAAGGGTAACATCAATAACGGACGTGAAGCCAAGTCCAAGGCTTTTATCGCTTGATTGGCAACAAGGTCAAGGCTACTCTGATTGTAGCGGAGGAAAATCTGATGGCGGTGGATACGTAGGTGGCGGTTATATCAACGGCTTAGGTTCGACGTGGAATGGTTTGATGAATGGCTATGGATCTTCCACTAAAACAAACTCCATGGTTTAATAAATTAATATCAGAACTTTATTTCTTGTCGCTATCAACTACTAGTAGAGACGCAATTAAATTAGTATATGGGTTGGTTTGATTAGCAAGTTTTACTTTCGTAATTCATTGCTGATTACGAGAGTAATCTTAATTAGGGAGTTGAGTTATATTTTTCGTCTTGTGTGTGGTCGTGTGGTTGAGGACCTTGCTGTGTAATGTTTATTTATATAAAACTAGATTCCATTCTATATTTTAATAATATAGCTCTATAGTCTATACTACTTCCAAATTTATTACACACCTATAGAATAATTAACTTCAGTTTCCAAAAGAGTGGATGAGTTTATATATCGTGATGCCTTCTTTTCTGTTTGCTATTTTATCCCTGATGCTAATACTGAGTCTTCGCAAAACAATGACCTAAAATGTAATCAAATCAGGATTCTTAATCAAACACTTACATAATGCGGACGAGGCTAAATTTTGCTATATAAAGCGAGAAGTTGTTATGACAAAAGTGATTACATTTGCGCCAGATAATGGTACTTTAGCAATTGCAGCCATGGAGGATACATATCAAGTAAGGTTTTATGGAATGGCTTCCTTTGTATATATAATATGATGTTTCCAGCCATCATGATGATGAGACAATCCACACACCTATACTTGTAAACCTGTATATATAATCCTCGAACATTTAGATATAAGAGCACCCACATCAAAGTATTATAGGTGGAGTTCACACATTTTTAAAGAAAAAAGAATAATAAAATAAATAAAATGGGGTGAATTTGTTTCATGCATCATCACTATTCCACGGACCCCACGCAACGTGACGGTCCGCGATTGGTCCATTTTTTTTAAAAAAAGTTTTGTGAACCCTTCCCCACATATGTACATGTCCTAATGGTATAAATATATATATATATATATGCCAATTTACAAATATTGAAAGGTCGTTTATTAGATCTCAAAACACTTGCTAAAACCAAAATATAATACAACGTGGTTGAAATCAAATACTGAAAATTTAGCAAATTTAAAATATTGGAGAAAAAGAAGTTGAACAAAGAAAAAAAAAAGACAAAACAAAAAACTATGGGTCAGCCTCGAACTCGTCAGCCTTAATGCTGGAAAAGATCGCTTTAAGGTGCTCGCAGTTGGAGTTTTTGAGTATTTTCTCTACTGCATTGAGATCCTCTTCATAAATCTCACACCGATCCAGTTCTCCACAGCCGCATAGGCAGTTTCTGAAGTTATCCAATGACTTTTTGCCGTAGCTTCGATTTTCCTCATCTTCGAGAATTTGCTCACGACGTTTCATGATAAATTCTGCTAGTAAGCCAATGAGCAAGAACAATAGAAGGCCCATCACTAAAAAGCTGGTCGTCAGATCATCCGCACTCACCGTCAACGCCATATTCACAACAAATAAAAATTCTAGCTATCTAGGGCTTCCCAAAGTCAAGTAACTATTTCGAGAAAGAAGATATTAAATAAACCTATATATATAATACATACATAAAATTAAGATTGGGATGTCTTCGAATTTTTCCCAATGTAATACTGTTTTGGATTTTATCTTTTCCTCATGTATTGCTGACCAAGAATAAGATAACTTTAATTCTAGGATAGACTTGTAGATCATCGGACCAATTAATGATATTCGACTACTATTAATTTATTAGCTATGCTTTGGACAAGGGATAATAACTAAAACTATATTCAGTTATATCTCTATAAATAACTGAATTATTATACTTGTGAAATATGTTGATAATAACTAAATGAAAGTTAAAAAAAAAAAACTCCAACGAGGACCCCAAGAAAATTTATCATTAGTCTGTGATTATCATACAATACAAGTCGTTTGCTTAAAAGTTAAAAAGTATATTGAAATTGGAAAATTGAAGTCTTATCTTATGAGAGCCGCACATGACGTTTTGTCAATCTCTTTTTTTGAATAAATTTTATATTTATTAATCAAAGAATAAAGGGGCATTTACAGATAATTTGGTACGTAATAGTGCCAATAGGCATATGAGAGAATATGAATAAACGAAATCCTATTTTGTCAACATCAAATCAGCATGAGGTAAGTGATGTATATGAAACGCCAGGCGAAGGATATATCTAGCTTACTTCAGTTTGAATTTAAACGTGTGAGACAAAAGATACTAGTTTGGTTTGGAGGAAACAAAAAAAAAAAAAAAAGATACACGTATGTCTTCCATTGTTACTTTTAGAAGTCAGGAGGATTCAACCCTCTGAGTATGCATAAATTCAAGTAGTAACTAAAAATATGTATTAAAAAACATTAATAAAGGTACACAATCATGCAATATAGTAACTACAAACCAGCTTATATATTATAAACCATATGAAGAAGAAAAAAAAATAGCTTGTTTCTTTCAGTATTAAAAAAAAAGAGGTGCACGTAATTAGATAAGTCAAATCTCTTTTAGTTGAAAGAACATAGATCGCACACGCTCACACTTTGAAAGACGAAGAATATCAGAGAAAGCTGTGATATCTTCATGACAAAGGCGGCAACAGTGGCCATCGTCATTCCCAGTTTCTATGTCTTCTCCTTCGTCTTCGACTTGGTTTTTGTAATAATAGATATATACGATGATGTAGAAGAAAATGAGCGCTTCAAGGAAAGCCATGTAACTCAGTAAGAGCGTGTCGACTGTTATCATCATCTCTTCAATTCCTGCAATTCCAATAGTAAGTATAAAACGATGATGATGGATGATTCAGAATTAACGAGAGACTCTATTATTGTTATACCCGAGAAGTTCCTAGGCGAGTTATATATATAAAATTTTAAGTTTTTTTTTTCTTTGTGGATTACAACAGAACATATTATTATTAATAATATAAGATAACACAAAAAAATTGAAAGAAAATTTTTCAAGGACAAAACTAAATTTTTGTCATAAATACAGATTTTAAAAACAGAATTAAATTTTTATAAATAATTATACACTGATACTCTGTGGATTAACTAATTCCTAGACTTTTTTTTTGTTTAGAGTTAAATAGTGGAGTTTTAAGGACATAATTTCAAATTTACAAAAATAAAAGAAAACCTTAAAATTTTTGAAATAAAAAAGTTATTTTGATTTTAGTTTTTGAAATCTATTTTTGTGATAAATTTTTTAAAAATGTCTATTTGAGTATATTGCCCAATTTAGAATGCCAAACTTTTTTTTGTTCAAGTTAATAATCTAAACTATTAAAACAAGAGTACAAATAAAAGTTAACCCTGACTTTTTCTAAATAATTACAATCTTCTGCCACTGCCTAAACCATCCATAATTACTTAAAACAAACCGCCTAAACTTTTATCAATAATCAAACCAAACATCACGATTAAACCTAACCATTTTAACAATTTGAAGTCTTTTATCATCGTCGTCTTCTCCTCAGAACGAGGATGTCTGGGAACTCTGGAAGATAAACTTTTTTTTGTTGTTGTGAAAACTGGAAGATAAACTTCGGAATCAAGAACGAGGTGGTGCTTTTCTCCAACGATTCAGGGAGACACTATGAATTTAATCCGATTTGAGAGATAAGCATGTGGGATTTGGAGTCAGATCAAAGCTAGGGTACTGAATTCTGTGGAACGAGACGCTTTCCTCAAATTCCATTCTTAAATCGGTTTGTGGATCAAGCTTTTGGTAATTCCAGTTAAATTTATTCAAACTTCTGTAATTTGCTAATCTCTTTTCCGCTTTTTTTCGAACATGAAACTTGATCGGTTGGAATTCTGGTCGGAGACGGGACAAAGTAACATTTAAATAGCAAAGGGGTTTGTCTAAAAAGTTAATTTGCAGATTTTCATATTGGTTTTCTAAATTTACTTGAATCCTTCGGAGGAGAAGGGTTTGATGAAGAAACTAGCTCATGGTTCTTCAAACAAAGCAGATGTCTACTCTTCTTGAAGGTGAAAATATAAATGTTTATTACTAAGCTTTAGCATAAGAAACTGAATGTTTTACTTATTTGTTGGAAATCTAATGTTTGTTTCTGGATAGCAGGTGTATAATGATAAAGCTGATACTTTTAATCATCAGTCTTGAGAATGTTGAAATGTGAACACTCTGGGTGTTGACATTGTCTATAGGTACTTAATAATCGTTTCTTGACGGTTTAAGTTCCTAATGATGTCAAGAGTTTCTCTTTGGATTTTTTTTCTATTAGTAACCTGTTGAGATGAGTATGTATAGGTGATTCTTTCTTCTTGGTTTTTTGTGAGTTTAACAAGTTCAAAACAAGAAGATCGAAAAAATTTGTGATATAAATTCAGATCCATCAAGTATATTTGGATATGTGAATGGAGAAGTGCCTGAAGCGAAATGCTCATTTCCAGCAGGAGGCATCTCAACACTACGATTGCCATCGGTAGCTGTACTCTGAACAACTCAAAGATGGGAGCTTGCAGGTTCTAACCTTGGTAATATCTTTGGCGTTATAAAACATCTAAGCAGATTGACACTGCTATAGTTTGTGACGAAGATGAAGTAGACTTTAGAGGTGATAGTAGAATTGCAAAGCATAGCTGTGAGTAAGCTTGTGAAGTCAAAGACCATGTCAAAGCAAAGACAATGTCTTCCACTATATTCTGTTGGATATGAGTTGTTGCAGGTCATTAAAGAAAATCAGGTCATAATAGTTGTAAGTGAAACTGGCTTGCCAAAGATCACTCAGCTTATGCAGTAATTTCACGACGATGGCTACCCTATAAACGGTACACTAGGTTGCACAACCAAGTCGTGTATCAGCAATCAGTGGTGCAAGCGAATAAGTGAAAAGATGAAAACAAATCTGGCAGAGAAAGTTGGGTGCTATTCGTCTCAAAAATGTAACTGGAGTTGGGTCGCAGCTAGACATATTAAGTTTCATTCTTTACAAAAAATATTGGAATTCTTACTTATAACCATATTCCTAAGTAAACCATTGCAATAACTTCACACTTTAGAATTTAAATATGTTTGCATGCTATGTTTTCAGGTTATAATTAAGGTGGCAAAATATTAGATTTATGAAAATGTGCTAACATTAAATGTACAAAAAATTCCATTTGATTACTAAATAAAATATTACGATATTTGAAAATAAGTTTTTTTTTTCTTTGTAATCTATTCAGTTGAGCAAGTATTTTGGTTAGTTAGTATTTTGTTTCGAAAATGAATTTTTGTAAAAACATTAGACGCTAATATAAATACAAACCATCTTTTACAAAATATGTCAAATAATTCTCATATCAGTATCATTCACAAAATTTTATTTAAATTGTAAAGATACACAAAGAAAATTCGTAATTAATTACTGAAATTTATATAATATTCTATACTAATTAAATTTTAAAGTGTGCAAAAAAATCATTCTCAACACTTATACTATCTTAATTCTAATACTATTTATTTACTTTTTTAAGTTTTGTATGTTTCTAATTTAGTTTGCATATAAAGTAAACTGAGAGACATAAAAATTCTGAATATCTAAAAATTAATTTCCATAAAATATTTTTTTTTGAAAAATAAATGTATATACACAAGCATATTAAATGGCTAAATTTGTAAACAAGTACAATATAAAAATGTCCCACATCATCAAAATGAAAAAAAAACTGTAACCATAGTATAATATAAATAATCAACACATATGCAAACATTTATAATCTATGTATAGTATAAATTATAAATATTATCTATAACAAATTAAAAAACACCCGTGCGGACGCACGGGTCAAACTTTAGTTCATACTAACGCAGGTTTCTAAGAAAATTAATTTAAGAGCATCAGCATTAATAAACCCCCAGTTAGGGTTCACAAGTTGAATTTTTTATTATTATTTTTTTTTACTTTTTTGATTTTTTTTTTAAATTAAACTGATCAATAGCGAGCCGCCACTTGGTGTGGGTCCCGCTAAACAGTAATGACCCGGGGTCACCGCAGAGACCTCGTACGATGCGGGTTCATCATTGTTGATTTAAATAATATTTTGTTTTTTGGGGATGCCTAACATCCTTTGATGCACTTGCTGTAAGCTAGTGTAGGAAAAAATGATCAGAGTGTATTGTAACATATATTTTGAATAACAAGATCCACCTTCCCAATTTTGTAAATTGGTACCATAATAGCTGAAATGATCCTTTTAGAAAAACTTTGTAATACCAACATTTTTAGACACTTGCAATATAATAGCATACACTAGTGTTGATAAAAGGATTGATGATCTAATACATGAAAAGATACACAGCTATCTATACTATTATATAATAAGTAAATTTGCTTAGTTGTCAAGTTCTCCTTGAGTTTAGGTAAATTTGTTTATTTACCTTATTTAAATAATTTCATATATAATTTATTATTTAATAAATATGAATTTATATTAATAATATTATATTTTAGAAATATGTTGATTATTTTGTATTAAATTGTTATCTTAAAAATATATTTTCTTTTATAAAATTCAAGTGAATTTACTGATTGATTTGTAACTTCTCCATGATTTTTGTAATTTTGCTTATTTGTTATATTTTTAATAATTTTATGAATAATTTATCATATAATAAAACGAATTTCTATTAATAATGTTATACAAATATATTTTTATTATAGAAATAGAAAATTAAGATAAAAAAATTATAATTAAAAGAAATTAAAATAACACAGTTGTAAAAATATATTTTAAAAAATATTTTGTTATGTGAGTGTTGTCATTTATAATTAACTAGATAAGATCCGCGCCTTGCGCGGGATGAAGTTATTATTTTTATTATGTTTTGGAAAATGAAACAAAAGTTCGGTTTCATCTGGAATAAAGGTGTTCAATCTGGATATCGGGTTTCGGTTATTAAAATATAACTACTATTCTAAATCCATATTTACTTCAGTTTGATTTGGATTATATATTGGTTTTCAGTTTATTCAATTTTATACCAAAATACATCATTATTTAGTTTGAGATCATATTATATATTATAAAAATAAATAATATGATCATATTTAGAGTCATATTGTCAAAAAATTCATTTACTAAAAAAATATTATATATTTAAATAAAAGAATAAATAACAAAAAAAGCTTCTATCATCTAATAAAATGATCAAATTTAGAATTAATATCAAATTTCTAAATTTTGAAAAAAAAAAAAGAGAAGCATAAAAGAATTTTTTTTATATTCTTCCATATTTATTGTTCATCAAATTAATGTCTTCGATTGAACACAACTCTGTTTGTTTAAAGATTTAAAAAATTGTAAAGAATTTCAACTAATTGTTGTCCATCAAATTTATAATTTTCACTTCAAGTTAGTTATTATTAAAAAAATAAAAAAAAACTAAGAAAATAAGAAGCCTCAGTTGCATTAAATTGTTTCTTAATTATAGTTCAAGTGATTCAAGTGATTTACAAATCATAATTATAGTTCAACTCATGTAACAAATAGATATACATATTTACATGTTTCAGTTTAATCGGTTATAAATCAAACCATATCCAAATCTTACGGTTTTTATAAAATCACATACATTCGGTTTGTATGGTATATACCAAAAATAACCATATTATCGATTGTGTTAATATCTTTTAAAAATATAAAATTAAAAAAAGAACTAATATATTTAAATCATTGATAACAAAAAAATTCAATGTGAAAAATTTAATACGTTTATAATTTATAAATGTTCTTGAAAATTCATTGAAAATTTTGAAATTAAAATAATTATGTAATCTTATATGGTATATAGTTTAATCTATATATATATATATATATATATATATATATATATTTGTTTTATTACTGAATGATACTTTTTACTCATATGGTTTTAAAATCATGTGTATCTTTTTATAATAAAAAATTTAAACTATTGATCACTAATTTTTAAAATAATAATTTTAATATTCTTAGTCATTTATTCTCGGTTTTTAAAATTCAAAATATAACATATACGAAAAAATCTAAAGTTTAATTTTATAGCTAATTTGATTGTTTAATTTATTTTAATAATATAAAATTAAAGAAAAATGATGGAGGAGATACGAATTGTTAGCAAATATTTATTATTAGAAACAATAATTGTCATATATATATATATATATATATATATATATATATATATATATATATATATATATATTTGTCATTTATGGTAATTCTGTAGCTTTTATTTAAGGAAATAAAATAAATAGTAATTATATCTAGCAGAACAATCATAAATGCTTCTATCATAAATATCATATCATATCATATAGTTTGACCAACAAATATATCTAGCGACATATACAAATCGAATGTGGACCTACTTATTTTTCAATTGAATGTAATTGACTACCTAATTGAGTGACATGTAGGCATGAACTCTTTTTTAATTATTACAAAATTGAGGTTACAATTTTTCAAATGTTTCTCAATTAATATATATGGGATTTTAAAACATAAATCATAACTTATTATATATTGGTTTGAATTAATAAAATATAGAATAATAATAAATTGTACGAAAATTATGCCCGCATGTGCGGGCAAAACACCTAGTAGAAACATATAAACATTCCATACATGAAAATTTTGCATTATGCCAGTAACTATCCAATAAAACATTTTAAACATTCCATACATAGAGACACTCTGCTCTAGAGATTGCTTGCATCTTAAAGCTTTCTTGTCGGGATTATTGTCTGTATGGAACACAGACTGAGACGCTTTTTTTTACTATGGAGCTAGCAGCAGCTTGTAATCCTCATATACGTCTCTTGTAATTCCAGCAGCCCTCAACCTGTAAAAGTGCTATATAGTCTCATTCAACATGGTGGTCATTTCGAAAGGTAGCCTCCGTTTATTGAACTATCATTACAGTTGTTTGTTTGTAATTATAGAATTATTATTATCCCAGGCTAAATCTAGCAATACTTGAGAACATCAGGTTTTAATATACTCAAAAGAACTTTTCTCTTTTGTGACCAACCCAAAATCTTCTTCTACTATATTAAATAATAAAGTACTCCAGTTATTGGAAACAGAAAAGTAAAAGCAAACGTTCAATAAATCTCAACACTTCAACCCCTATGATTCAAACCAATCCTCTGATGTCATCGGCTTGTTGGTGGGTGAGAGCACAATGGTGATGTGAGAATGTTTTGGAACCACCACGTCTTCAATTTCAAACTTAAGGAAACCTTTGTACAACAGTACGACCATCTTGTCTAATTTCTTTGTATTTTTAAGCACAAGTTCCACGAATGAAGTGACATGCTTTGGTTGTACATCCCAACAAGAATTATTCCAAGAGAAACCATCTTTTGATCTCCAGCATTGATCCGGATTCAAGGATTGTGAATTCAAGTATTTGTCAAGATGATTCCCCTGTCAAACATAAATAAGATACAAAGAGGGTCCTTGGACAATAGCTAGAAAAAAAAGAGTTTGATGATGAATATACCGGTATGGAGTTGCAAGTCCTTCCACGTAATGTCAGCTTCTGTAAATCAGGTGAGTTTTGTAAGAGTCTTTCTATGCCAGGAATAACATACTGACATATCACTGTGTTAAGAGTCAATGCTTTGACCTTGAACATGGGGAAAGAAACACCACGAATCTCAGCAAGAGATAAAATCTAATAGAAAGAACCAAAAAAAGATGGTGAATTATTGATTAGTAACGAGCTAATGACATAATCAAACCTATAGAACACTGACTGTGAAACCAACTGCTTGTTAATTAGGCATTAGAGAATAAAAGAATATGAGCAAAAAAACTAATTATATACCTGAATAAAGTTTCCCCCAAAAGTAAGCTTCTCTGCGTTCTGCAACTTTTCTAGCATCTTTAGCACCATGACTTGGAGAAAATCAGCCTTTAAGTTAAAGAACATTGAAACATAACAAATGTCCAGTTTAGCTTCGGTTAAAGAAGCGACATCAACAAAAGTGCATGATAATTGAGAGTTTAGCAATCTTAGACAATGGATGTGTGGTGCCACAATCTGCGTTGGCCCCGGCACCCACACGTTACGTCTTATTTGTAAAGTTCTCAGACGTTTTGATTTGGTAAGATCAAGAACCTTTAGTTCATCGCAGTGATACAACGTTAAGTTTTCAAGAACCGGACAACCTGATAGAATCTTAGCTAAGGATTCATCAGAGAGAGTACAACAACTCAAAGATAACTTCTGTAACGATGTCAAAGACACAGTACACTCAAGAGGAACAATCGTATGAGAATAGCTAGCTTAACTCAATGTTGATTTGTTTGACAGAACTGTTGTAGAAGAAATCAGGGAGCGTATACGCCTTATTAGCACCAGGACTCCAGAAATTCAGGGAAAGATTCTCAACGTTGTGTGACATAGCGCACCTGATCCACCTGTCAACGTGGGGAATGTTCTTCCTCCTGGTGGTTTTGAGGTGAAAACTCTTCGTCTTGAGAGCTGTGTAGCGATTTAGGGTTTCGTTTACAGATGCGGCAGTCAGTGTATCCACATCTAAGGAGATAGAAGGTATATTGCACCATACATGCCTCCATCGTCTTGACAAGATGGATGTGCTGATGGATACTTTGGTCGGAATATAGCAGAGTATGTGTTGTTGGAGGATCTCATCTGGTAAGTTGCTGATCCTGTCTACAGCTTCTTTGATCTTCCTGTCGCCGGCCATCTTTATTTGCTATAGTATTCTTTAGGGCACAATTTTTATAAATTTCTATATATATATAGGATTAAGTTATATAAAATGGGTTTAAAGACCCAAAAAATTAATGAGCTTTTAGTTTGCACTCGAAAAGACCAAAACTGATAACCACTGTAAATAGGCACTACTACAACATGAAAACGTACAAGTGAAACATTGTTTTATCGGAAAATCCCTTATATATTAAAGGAGAAACATTTAAAAAATTGTAACCTCAATTTTGTAATAATTAAAAAGACCCCATGCTTAGGTGCCACTCAATTAGGTAGTCAATTACATTTAATTGAAAAATAAGTAGGTTCACATTCGATTTTTATATTTCGCTAGATACATTTGTTGGTCAAATTATATAATATGATGATATGATATTTATGATAGAAACATTTATGATTGTTCCCCTAGATATATTACTATTTTATTTTCTTTCCATAAATAAAACCTACGGAATTACCATAAATGACTAATATATATATATATATGACATTTAATGATTCTAATAATAAATATTTGATAACAGTTTATATATCCTCCATCATTTTTCTTTAATTTTATATTATTAATATAAATTAAACAATCCAATTAGCTATAAAATTAAACTTTAGATTTTTTCGTATAAGTTATATTTTGAATTTAAAAAAACGAGAATATATAACTAAACCATTAAAATTATTATGTTAAAAATTAATGATCAATAGTTTAACATTTTTATTATAAAAAGATATACATGATTTTAAAACCATATAATTAAAAAGTATCATTCAATAATAAAACAAATATATATACAGATTAAACTATATATCATATAAGATTAAATAAATATTTTAATTTCAAAATCCTCAATAAATTTTCAAGAACATTTATAAATTATAAAATTATTAAATTTTTCACATTGAAATTTTTTGTTATCAATGATTTAAATATCTTAGTTCTTTTTTTAATTTTATATTTTTAAAAGATATTAACAATCAATAATATGGTTATTTTTGGTATATACCATACAAACCGAATGTTGATTTTATAAAAACCATAGGATTTGGATATGGTTTGATTTATAACCGATTAAACTGAAACATGTAAATAAATATATATATATATATATATATATATATATATATATATATATATAAAAAAAATTGTAACCTCAATTTTGTAATAATTAAAAAGACCCCATGCTTAGGTGCCACTCAATTAGGTAGTCAATTACATTTAATTGAAAAATAAGTAGGTTCACATTCGATTTTTATATTTCGCTAGATACATTTGTTGGTCAAATTATATAATATGATGATATGATATTTATGATAGAAACATTTATGATTGTTCCCCTAGATATATTACTATTTTATTTTCTTTCCATAAATAAAACCTACGGAATTACCATAAATGACTAATATATATATATATATATATATATATATGACATTTAATGATTCTAATAATAAATATTTGATAACAGTTTATATATCCTCCATCATTTTTCTTTAATTTTATATTATTAATATAAATTAAACAATCCAATTAGCTATAAAATTAAACTTTAGATTTTTTCGTATAAGTTATATTTTGAATTTAAAAAAACGAGAATATATAACTAAACCATTAAAATTATTATGTTAAAAATTAATGATCATTAGTTTAACATTTTTATTATAAAAAGATATACATGATTTTAAAACCATATAATTAAAAAGTATCATTCAATAATAAAACAAATATATATACAGATTAAACTATATATCATATAAGATTAAATAAATATTTTAATTTCAAAATCCTCAATAAATTTTCAAGAACATTTATAAATTATAAAATTATTAAATTTTTCACATTGAAATTTTTTGTTATCAATGATTTAAATATCTTAGTTCTTTTTTAATTTTATATTTTTAAAAGATATTAACAATCAATAATATGGTTATTTTTGGTATATACCATACAAACCGAATGTTGATTTTATAAAAACCATAGGATTTGGATATGGTTTGATTTATAACCGATTAAACTGAAACATGTAAATATATATATATATATTTATAACGACGCATGAATATCTATTTGTTACATGAGTTGAACTATAATTATAATTTGTAAATAGCTAACAATTTATTACAACTTAGACTTCTTATTTTGATCTTTTTCCTTTTTAACAGTAACTAAATTGAAGTAAATATTATAAATTTTATGGACAACAATTAGTTGAAATTCTTTACAACTTTTTTTTTATCTTTAAACAAACAGAGTTGTGTTCAATCGAAGACATATTGGTTTGATGAACACTAAATATGAAAGAATATAAAAACTTTTCTTTCATGTTTCTGTTTTGTTTTTTATTTTTATTTTCAAAATTTAGTGTTTTGATATTAATTCAAGATTTGATCATTTTAGCCTTTTTCGTTTTTATTCTTTTATTTAAATATATAATATTTTATTAATAAATGACTCTGTGACAATATGACTCTAAATATGATCACATTATATATTTGTATAATATATAATATGATCTCAAACTAAATAATCATGTTTTTTGGTATAAAATTGAATAAACTAAAAACCGATGGTATATAAACCAAATCAAACTGAAGTACATATAGATTTAGAATAATAGTTATATTTACCAAAAAATCGAGCCGAACCGAAACTCGATATTCAGATTGAACACCTCTAACCGAATGAAACCGAACTATTGTTTCATTTTTCAAAACATAATAAAAATAATAGCTTCATCCCGCGCAAGACGCGGGTCTTATCCTAGTACTATAATTAAAATGCCTAACTAAATCTTCTATTGGGCTTTTGAGCCGAAAAAAGTCTTCTACTGGGCTTTGCTTAAGAAACAAAACATTTCGAACAAAACATACAAATCCGACCCGGTTTATACGGGCTAGCTCAATCTCGACCCGACCCGAACGAGGAACTCACACTACACATTGCGTCAAACAGTTACTACTACTCACTAAACCGGTCGGAGAAAACAGAAACGCAAGAAAGCTGTGTGTTCGTTTGCGTGATGAGACCACAGATAGTTCTGTTCGGCGATTCAATAACCGCTCAGTCGTTCAGATCCGGCGGATGGGGATCTTCCCTCGCCGACGCCTACTCTCGCAAAGCTGATGTCGTTGTTCGTGGCTATGGTGGCTACAACACCCGATGGGCTCTCTTCTTGCTTCATCACATTTTCCCTCTCGTCAGATCTCTCTCTCTCTCTTCCTCTCCAATAGAATTGTGTAATTGGTTTAGTGTGGTTTAGTATTAACCAAATATCTTAACCGGTTCTTGTATTTATAAAAAGGAGAGTCAACGAACTCTGTAACTAACTAACAGAATTTTTTTTACCTTAGGGATCTTTGACTCCACCCATTGCTACGACTATATTCTTTGGTGCAAACGATGCAGCTCTTAAAGGGAGGACAAGTGATAGGCAACATGTGCCTGTGGAAGAGTACAAAGATAACATCAGAACAATGATTCAGCATCTTAAGGTTCTTACATAACACTTTTACATTAGTTTTAACATAAAAACAGATGCACTAGATGTACACAGGTTTTGATTGAATTAATTTTACACATTAAAAAAAAAGACATTAGGCTCTTAGAACATCTTCAATAGCACTCCATAATTTACTGCAAAATGAAGTCGAAAATAGAGCTATAGCGTAATCACTTTTTTTTTTGTTATTTCGGCAATTTATTTCGCATTAAAATATGGAATGAGGTTGGAGATGCTATTAACTGCATATCTCCAGCAAGCACTCCATAATTGATTGCAAAATGGAGTGGAATCTAAAGCTATATAGTGTAATCACTTTTTTTTTTTTTTGACATTTTATTTCATAGTAAAATATGGAATGAAGTTGGAGATGCTATAAACTGCATTAAGTTGTTTACTAATGACTATTTTTGCAGAAATGTTCACCTACTATGCTAATTGTGCTTGTAACTCCACCACCAGTTGATGAAGCTGGGCGCCAGAGATATGCAGAGTAAGTTAGGCTTTTACTTGATCATTATCTATCTTTTTTTACTCTTTTAAATATTTTTAGTGATTGTGTTACTGCAGATCAATCTATGGTGAGAAAGCTATGAAGGAGCCTGAGAGAACAAACGAAACCACAGGAATCTACGCACAACATTGTGTTGCATTAGCCGAGGAACTCGGTCTCCGATCTATCAACCTTTGGTCCAAAATGCAGGAAACAAATGATTGGCAGAAAAAATACCTAAGGTTCCGTATCATTTAAAATCCATTTATTTGATTTGTGGAAACACTCATCTCCTTGATTAATCATTTTGTTTATAAAATGGTTCTTCTTGTAGTGATGGACTCCATCTCACACCTGAAGGCAATGGAGTGGTTTTTGAAGAAGTTTCAAGAGTGTTTAGAGAAGCTTGGCTCTCTCCTGATGAAATGCCTTTTGATTTCCCTCACCATTCTCAGATCGATGGTGATAACCCATCCAAAGCTTTCCAGGAGCGTTGCTTATAAGATTTGATCGATTTACAGCTTTCTTTTTTTGAGTTTTTATGCCACGGACACATTGATTGATAACTCTCTTATGTTAACAAACACTCTCTGTTTCAAAATATCCCCATTTTAGAGAAAAACATGTTTGGAAAATATTGTTAATGCGTTTTTAAATTTTAATTGGATGATAATAGTAAATTGTAGACTTGAATTAGAGAAAAATTATGGAAATAGTTTCAAAAATTAAATAATGTATTTATAATCAAAAATTAATAATTGTTTATATGTGTGAAATTTCAAAACATACATTATTTTGAATAGGAGAGTACATCATTAATGATCTAGTGATGTGCAGGACTTATAGTTACTAAAGCTTGTGACTTATAGGAAGATATATATGTATTTCATAGAAAGCTACACAACCTACTTGGCTTCGGGGGTTTGATATGAAAGCTACACAACCTTCTTGGCTTTGATATGACTAAAGTGATCTCTCATTGTTTCAAATAATTTTCTTCAATGTTAGGTTGTCTTGGGTCTTCTTCGAAGAAAAGAAGTATTCAGAACAGGAAGTCATTTACAAAGCAGTTAGGGATGGTTATATTACTCATCATACTAGTATAACTCAGTAAAACTCGGATAACTCAGTATAGTTACACTTAGTATAACTACATTCGATTTAACTTAGTATAACTCTGTATCTCATTATAACCAGTATAACTTGGCATAACTCAACATCAGTATTACCTAGTAGAACAAAATATAACTCAGTACAACTATACAATACACATTATCCGAAATTTACAAATTTCATTTAAAAAAAAAATATTTCAGAAATATAACAGGGCAAAATCGGATATCATATTTCATTAAAGCCATGAGAGCATAGAAGATTTGAGAAACCCATAGGAGATTGACTCTACCACAAGTGGGGATAATAAGAAAGTAAACGTATCTATGTTTTTTGACAAGGAGGAGGAACACCGCAAACCCAATCTAGGACGTTGAGATATTTTGATCGAAACACTTCTCTTTCCTGGGCGTAGCAGTGCATTATAATGGCTGTCGAAACGCTGAACACAACCACATCTGCTCTTCTTAGAATCCTGGACGGTCGAATGTATCCTGCATCTGTCATGCATGTGAAGAAGCTTTCTATTGCCCTCGCTAAGCAGTAGAGTGATATCTCTATCCTTCTACTTTTCTTTTCAATTGCTAAGGCCAAACCAGTAGGGAACTGCAAGAAAAGTAGTCACGCTTTAGGTACACTATGCTACATAAGTGTATGGTATTGTGAATAGATTTTGGTCTGTACCGTTGCTATGGCGACGATCGGTATGCTGCATGTCTCAAAAGTCCGGAAAAGCAGGCAAGTCCAAGCCCTGGTTAAGCCAATCATAGAGACGGTATAAGTTTTCACATTAAGTGAAACAACACAACAAAATTGATGCTGACTATGTTTTATGTGTTATGATTATATGAAAGAGCTTCCAAAGATTAGATACTAACCAGGAAGAAGTGCAGTAAGTAGAGAGAAACAAACTTGATCTCGCCGTGCCAAGAAGACCCTTACCGAGTATTGAGTATTGCCTGTGAGATGAGTATGAAAGACTCTATAGAGGTAGATGCATAAAATCGAGATACACAAAAAAAACATTAAACAAGCAATGGATTGTAGGCGAAACAAAAACTTTTTACTTTTTTAGCAGGTCTTGACGATGAACTATGAGCGCTGGGATCAAGTAGACAGGGACATAGACAGGTAACGCCCTCTTGTAAGCTTGAAGGAAAAATGTAAGAGCATGTGTAGTACATGACTCTTTTCCATGAATTATCTTACAAGAGAAACAACATATATGTATTGAGTAAAACTTTTCTATAGACATTTGATGGGAACAAAAGAATAAAATATATAAACTTACGGAACAGGGGACTTTCATGTTAGGATCAAGTTTGATATCAACTCCAACAGACTTGTAATATTTCTCAATCGCCCTTAAATTGGAGAATGGTTTGGCGCTTGCGATGTCTTTAACTCCTTGTATGATAGAAAGATCCTTCCCACCTTGTTTGTTAAGAAAAGACTTGTACGATGAAGGTAGACTTTCTTGCTTCAAAATATACGAAGACCTGAAAGAAGGCACGCATAAAATCTCTAATGTTTGAATCATTTTCTCTAGAATTAGTTGTATTCAAAACCTAATATCATTGTAGGGAACATACAAAATCTGTGAAGATGAGAGACACATGAGAAACAAGTCACCATGTTTCCACGTAAGAGGCTTGCAAATAGAACCAAACCGTTTGCTCTTGATGCCGCACCGCGACGCAAGAACCGCTGCACGCATGAAAATGTAAACAGCTAAACTCGTGTGTTGCGTGTTTGGTCCTGTGAGAAGCATCGATGGCCCAGCCACTAAACCAGCAAAAAGTGCCCTCCATTTTGCAGTTCTGAGACAAAACACTGATCAAACATGTTTCCATACTCTAAAAAAAAAAAGAAAAAAAGAAGATATAGTGACATGCCTCTGGTCTCCTGCGAAAGAACAAATAGCTTCATCTACAGAAACAAAAGTACCAGCAAAAGTTCCCAAAAACAGACCGTATCTTAGAGTTTCCTTAATCCCCATGGAAATAGCTTCGCTATTCGAGAAATAATCACCGGTTCTCCTAAACCAACCGATATATATATTCCAAGATCAAATCAAGCAACAAAAAAATTCGGAATTGGAATTTCTGTTTTATTTTATTTTCTCACAATACCTGGAAGAAGATCTATGACGAGGACGAGCGAAACGAGCAAAGATAGAGAAAATAGCTAATCCACCTTTAATCCCAGTACCTATGGAGAATGCTTTGATGGAAGCTGTGATGATTCTACGCAACTTGTCCGAATTTGATCCAGACAGAGAGCAACAGGAGGAGGAGGAGAGATCGGGTGGTTTTATCGAATTGCACTGATTGCATGTAAGGTCAAACGGATCATCGCCTCCGGTGGTGAGTCCATCGATTTCACCGAGGACGCCGCATGAGCAGCGAGAACCGTTGTTCGCCGTCTGGCTAGATGGTGACATGATGACGTGTCGGCCAGAATTAAGGGTTGCTCGGATAAGTGAGCTTTGGTGGGAAATTGGTTGAGGCTTTTGAAATAAACAGACAAAAGGGGAAGGGGAACAACCAGAAAAAAAGTTATAAGAGTGTGACGAAGAGAGCAACAGAGCGAATCAAATTTAGAAACACCGAGGGTATACCAGTTGTCAAGGCTTCACAGACACGTGTCAGTTGCGAGTTTCTTGACTCTTTTACCTTGGGTAACCGGTACACTGGAAGTATTACCTCTGGGCCTTCGGATCCTTGGTCGGATTCGAACTGGTTCCTTTCGAAATCGGGGAAATCCGGATCCTTCGAAGTCTAAAATATTAGGTCCAATAGATATTTAGGAGTGTTTTTGTGTGGTTTCAAATCGGTTCCTATCAAATTTGGTTCGTTTCTAATCTAAATTAAAATACACGTAAAATATCTGTAATTTTAGGGTTCTATCGGATCTGGTTCTTTTTGTTCCGAGTCTCTTAACTCTTTTACCTGGGTAACCGTTATAGAGGAAGTATTACGTCTTGGCGTTCGGATCCTTAGTCGGATTCGAACTGGTTCCTTTCGGTTCCGGATCCTTCGAAGTCTAAAATATTTAGATCCGAGAGATATTTAAGAGTTTTTTTTTGTTTGATTTTGGGTCGCTTCTTATCGAATTTGGTTCGTTTCGAATCTATAATTAAAATACATGTAAAATATCTGTAATCATAGGGCTCTATCGGATCCGGGTCGGATTTGATATTTAGGATCTGAAAAAGACACGACATACCCAAACCTCATCAAATATAGCTGAAATCCTCATATTATCTAAAAACTTACAAAATAGCTAAAAGTAATCAAGACATTTTTAAACTCCAAATTTTACATTTAAAGTTTCATATTATTTGAAAATGTAACAAAAACTAATAATAAGTATTGTTAAAAAAAAATTAACTTAATAATAAAGTATATATAGAAAATAACACATAACATTAGAGTTTAGGATATTTATGTTTTATTTCGGTATGAATCAGTTCTTAGTGAATTAGATCAATTCAGATTGATTTTTTTCGGGTTTGGATCTGTTCGGATTGATTCTTTTTGGTTCTAGCTAGTTCTTTCGGATATCAGATTTATTTGACCCAAATAGGTACTTGTAAACTTTCGGTTCGATTTCAGGTCGAATATTTTTGGATCGATTCTGGTTCAGGTTTTGGATCCGGATAAAAGGCCCGGCCTAGGAAATATTACAATAACAAGGTTTTGGGTAGTCATGGTCATTTTATGTCGAAAAATCAGAGAATATTAAATTGAAAACCTAACCAAAATACATCTCGGTTTGTGGTATATGCAAAGGTTTAAAATAATTGATTTGGCTACCTAGGTCATCTAAATGAATTTACCTTTTCAGTCACTCATATGCTCTCAAATTACCCATGAGCAACTTCTCTCTCAAATAAGAAGTTTAGCTGTAGTATTTAGGGATCAAATCAACATGAAACGTGGACACACACTAGATTTTTATATATGTAGATTAAATGGTTGTAAACAATAAAACAGTTGATTAGATGGTTGTAATACAATATGAAAAAATAACTAGATCTAGAATTTAATGTAATCAGGATTATATAGATATAGAAGCTAAAAGTGTATGTGTGTGTATGTTATTCTAGAACTTGAATTTTAGTGTATAGATATCTAGTTGTCGCTTGTGAGTCTAATAATTATCTAAGTCTAGTATTCTAACTATTGCTATGAACATGGAATGAGTTGTTAATCAATTTCAAGTGCCGAGCATCGATTGACGACGAACTTAAATTGGGATTATTATCTTATTCGATTGGTTTACTAACTTCTAGATCAGCTGTCGCATGTGTCTAGCAACCTACCTCGAAAGAATCAATTCAGGCAAAAACTTACTATCGTAATTGTCTACAATCTTAATATCAGGATTCTAGTTAGCTACTATAGAACACAAACATTATTAGCAATTCAATTGATGGATATCTCTATTATTTTAGCAATTCTACAGTTTTGGCTAATCTGTCATAACCCTAATTAACCGTAAATTTAACAGTGAGAACTACTCAGACATGACTAAGCAAAGCACGATAATAAACTAAACAGAAATCATGTAATATAATAATAAGGAATAAGAAATAATGGAGTTTCAACACAAATCTCCGAAGGAGTCTTGGATCTTCTCTCCCAATCAAAATAAAAGATATTCATGTTTCTATTAGGGTTTCTTTATCAATAAGACCAAAACAACAAAAAAAAGCCCAACGCAGTCCATAGAAATTCTGTTTAATGAAACACAAAATATGACGTCGTTTCACAGGTAGACTCTCCACGTTGGATCTGACGTGGACCCCCTAAAAAAGAGATAAATACTCCTTTATATAATAGATGAGAATAAACAAATATCAAACATGCACTAAAATAAAGGAAAAAGGAAAACCTTTGTGTTTTTAATCCCCATTACTTTTGTGTTCTTTAAACTATCAGTATGTATGAAACTACAAAAAAAAATTCAAAATACAAAACTAAATAAAAACAAAGTAAGTAATAAATGGTTGATGATAACTTAAAACTTTTAAAAAGGGAACTGAGATAATAATGATATTTTTGTTTAGTCGATAAATATATACATAGCATTATCTTATTATTTTAACTTATTTCTCTATAAAAGAAAAATAAGTGATGATCATCATCAGATAATATCAAACACAATTAGGTACTATCAAATAAAACATTACTATCATACGTGGTTCTTTTTTTTTCCTTTTGATAACTTTTATTATAATTAATTCATTAATTTATAATCAACTATATAATAAATAAATAAATAAATAAATATAATAGTTCATTAATGCTATAAACGATATTATATGCTCTAACTTTTAACGCGAGAACTCGATTGCGAAAAATTAATTCGCAAATAATAGTATAGTTATAGATAAAGATAAATTTTATATGCGTAAACCATCATAAATAAATAATTATTTAAACTTTAAAATTCTTGAATTTATCTGCATTTAAAGATTGGTTTATATTTCATAATACTTCAGCGCATAGGAGAAAAAAAAAGAAGCAAGTTAATACAAAACCCCAGTAGGTATTTTGTTTCGTCTTAACTTTTCTTTTTGTCTGTGATTCACCAAAGAGAACATAGACAATCATGCCACGGAAGAGAAGTAGCAAAAAGAGGAAAACAAACAAGAAGTCTTTACGACAAGCAATCCATGTCCCTTTTGATCTAACGGTCGAGATACTCTCGAGACTACCTGTGAAAACACTTGCGAGGTTTCGATGTGTGTCAAAACTATGGTCATCTAGTATCATTACCGAGTCGATCAAAACTAGGTATTTGACTCAGCCACGTCAGCTCGTCATTTTCTACAACTCTTCATATATGTCCTCGTATACTTATCCTCTTAACACTAACACAAGATTCGTAGCCGCGGACCGAGGTAGTTGTACACTATTGCAATTCTGCAACTACTTCAATGGATATGTCCGAGGATTAATCTGTTATAACTCAAACTCTAAGCAGTTTGCGATATACAACCCTACCACGCGACAAAACGTTTTGTTGCCGCCCATATTCGGATACCATAAAGAAAACAAAGACTTTGATGGATTCTCTTGGTATGATTCAGTTAAGAACGAATACGTGGTAGAGAGCAAGTACCTCCATGGATTCTTTGGATATGATCCAGTGAAGAATCAATACAAAGTCTTGCAATTTGTTGAAGGGGCGAGAATTTGCGATTATTTTTGTAAGGTTATAACATTTCAAGGTGGTCCAAATAAACAAGAATGGAGAAAGATTGAAATACAAGAGGATATCTCTCCACCGAGAAGTAATGGTGTGTGCATAGATGGGATCATCTATTACATAGGAGGGAATTTGCCAACTAGTGGATTAGTATTAGGGAGGTTCGACGTTAGGTTTGAAAGATTTGATCATATCCAGATGCCCATAAATGTGGATATGAACCAGTTGGAGAAGTTGAGTTTGGTAAACTACCAAGGGAAACTAGGATGCACGTTTTACAGCAAAGATAGAGCAGAGGTGTGGATTATGAAGGAACATGAATGGTCTAAGGTTACTATTGCCATGTCTCTTCCTGATATGTCAAAGACTCGTATAGCTGGTGTGACTCTTAAGGGTGAGATTGTGATAATGCCCAAGACGTTGGATTCTGCTCAAATGTTATACGCATACTTTTACGACCCCAAGGAAAACAAGACTAGAAGAGTTGAGTTTGAAACCAACTTGAAAGGGGAACTAGGACTTTGTATCTTAAGTGAGCCGGATCACATGGAGAATACTATGTCCTTGTGCGGGAGCCAATTTAACAAGAAGAGGAAGAAGAAGAAGAAGAAGAAATCAGCAACCACCACTGTTTTCTCCTCTAACAAAATATTCGTGTGGCCCAAGAAACTCTTAGTGATAGGTTTTTTATGTGCTGCTCTCGTTCTGGCTACGATATTTCGAACATGGGTTAAATCTTTGTTGGACTCGTTCCATTAGTAGTTTTTTTTTCTCTAAAACTCAATGTAAACTTACTTCGTTGGGTGGATCATTTGGTTATGATCCCGTTTGAGTATCAATTTGAAGGTTCTTATTAAGTTAAGAAATAGCACTCGTATATCTGGTGGCACTTGATTCCGAACATGGCTTATATCTTTGTTGGACTCGTTCCACTAGTAGTTTTTTTTCTTTCTCAAAAGCTCTTATATAAAACCTTTGTTGGTTGGATTCTTTTGTTATGATCCCGTTTGAGTATCTATACAAATTGGTTTGCATGAATAGAAGGTCAGAGTACTTTAAAGATTACACTGGTCATCATCATGATAAACAATAATAATGGTTTTAGATTACACTTGTCTAGTCTTGCACCTAGGGCTGGGCAAATAAACCAAATCTAAAAGCCCAATCTGAATTCGATCCGATAAAAATGAATCCGCATCGATTCGAACCTGGCATAAATATTGAATGGATCTTGTTTTATGGTATTTCGGGTTACATGTATTATCCAAACCGAACCCGAAGTTAAATTGGTATCCGATGATACCCAAAATATTCAAAGTCCCATAAAACAACTTATATCAAACATGATTCTAATTTCTAATATGTATCCAAAATATACTAAGATATTACTGAATATCTAAAATAATTATCTATTACATGAATGTTGATGATTAAAGGTGACAGTTGAAAATTGAAGTTTTTACATTTTAGTTTTGTTTTCACTGAATAGTGTTTCTCATTTCATGAGAATTTGGTTTTTGTTTTATAATTTCATTTATTTGGTTTTTCTTTCTATCAATAACTATGTTTACCATGCGTTTAATTTTGAATGATCACGTTTGATGCTCTTTTCTAATTTTTTAATCGATTTTATTTATGTTGTGGTTACAAATATGTACAAGTCAGAAACTTGAAAACCGAAAAAATAATTTTACTTATGTTTTGGTTACAAAATAGGTAAAAATTAAGTACTTTTAAATCAAAGAACCGATTAGGACCCAAACCCGAAAGTATATCGGATTGTACCAGTTCTTTAAAGATTTACTAACCCCGACCCAAACTTGATAGAATCCTAACCAGTCCCAAACCAAATTTTCATGTAATCCGAATGGGATTTATTTTGATAAACCCGAAAAACCAAACAACATAACTGAAATCTGATTAGGATCCCGAATTCCCATACTTACAACAAATATTTTTTTTATAGCTTACTAAATAATGTTTAAGAAAATAAGGTTCATGCGATCATTGTTGTATGTATTCTACTATAGTTAAAAAAATTAAATAAAATATGATTGATAATTTTTATGATTATGAAGAGAAATTAAAGTCAAATATACTTTGAACAAAAAAAAAGTCAAATATACTTTTACAGTACAGTACAACCATAAGCTACACAGCCTAGTTGGGCTTGGGGATTTAGTAGGCTAAAGCTAAGTGATCAAATGTAGGTTATTTTGGGCTTTAAATGGGCAATAAAAGTGGGCTGCTTTTAGAATGATTTTGCTTTTCCATTAAGCATTTTCAATGGAATAAGGCGAGAAAAAAAAGAAGTCAAAAACCCTAGTAGGTCGGTCTTCTGGTGTCGTGTTAAACTTTTATTTGGTGTGTGCTTCACAAAAGAGAACATAGACAAGCATGCAGAAGAAGGGAGGAAAGGAAAAACAGAAGTCCTTACGACAAGATCACCAAGGTGGAGAAAAGTCATCGAAAGCAATCCATGACGTCCCTTTTGATCTAACGGTCGAGATACTCTCGAGACTTCCGGTGAAAACACTTGCGAGGTTTCGATGTGTGTCGAAGCTATGGTCATCTAGTATCATTACCGAGTCGATCAAAACTAGGTATTTGACTCAGCCACGTCAGCTCGTCATTTTCTACAACTCTTCATGTATGTCCTCGTGTACTTATCCTCTTAACACTAACACAAGATTCGTAGTCGCGGACATAGGTAGTAGGTGTACACTATTACAATACAGATACAATCGCAGCTATGGATATGTCCGAGGCTTAATCTGTTATTACTCAAACTCTAAGCAGTTTGCGATATACAACCCTACCACGCGACAAAACGTTTTGTTGCCGCGCATAGTCGTATACCATAAAGAAAACAAAGCCTTTGATGGATTCTCTAGGTATGATCCAGTTGAGAAAGCATACATAGTAGAGAGCAAGTACTATAATGGATTCTTTGGATATGATCCAGTGAAGAATCAATACAAAGTGTTGCGTTTTATTGAAGGTGCAAGAATTTGTGAGTATTCTTGTACGGTTCTAACATTTCGAGGTGGTCCAAATAAACAAGAATGGAGAAAGATTAAAATTCAAGCGGATATCTCTCCACCGAGAAGTAATGGTGTGTGCATCAATGGGATCATCTATTACCTAGGAGGCACATTAATAAGTGGTGTATTAGTATTGGGGAGGTTCGACGTCAGGTTTGAGACATTTGATCATATCCAGATGCCTATAGCTGTGGAGATGAACCAGTTGGAGGAGTTAGGTTTGGTTAATTACCAAGGGAAACTAGGATGCACGTTTTACAGCAAAGATAGGGCAGAGGTGTGGATCATGAAAGATCATCATAGTAGCGAGAAAAATGAATGGTCTAAGGTTACTATTGCCATGTCTCTTCCAGATACGTTAAATACTCGTATAGCTGGTGTTACTCTTAAGGGTGAGATTGTGATAATGCCCAAGACGTTGGATTCTGCTCAAACGTTGTTATACGCATACTTTTACGACCCCAAGGAAAACAAGACTAGAAGAGTTGAGTTTGAAACCAACTTGAAGGGGGAACAAGGACTTTGTATCTTAAGTGAGCCGGATCACATGGAGAATACTATGTCGTTGTTCGGGAGCCAATTTAATAAGAAGAAGAAGAAGAGAAAGAGGAATAAGAAGAAGAAGTCAGCAACCACCACTGTTTTCTCCTCTAACAAAATATTCATGTGTCCCAAGACACTCTTAGTGATAGGTTTTTTATGTGCTGCTCTCGTTATGGCAACCATAGTTCGAACATGGCTTATATCTTTGTTGGACTCGTTCCATTAGTAGTTTTTTTTCTTCTCTTAAGCTCAATATAAACTTACTTTTTGGGTGGATTCTTTGGTTATGATTTCGTTTGAGTATCAATAAAAACTGTTTTGCATGATCAGAGTATCATTAACTCAAGGATCTTTGGTCATTGTGTTAGAGATTCTCGGTTCGAGTGATCGTTGGGATGGAATTTATATTACATGTTGTGGTTTTGAGCCTAAAAATATTACGGTTTCGATTGGCTGGCCAAGTTTCTCGAAAAGATCACGATGCTGCGGATTTGTTTTCCAACATTTAAGATCTTATATATTCCTAGAACGAAGAATGGTGTTGCTGACTCTTTAGCTAAATGTGCTCGATCCTTTTATCGAGAGTTATTATATGGAGAAACAAAACAAGCATGGTTTAAGATTACACTTGTCATGTCCACTCCTCATCAGTTAAATACTTGTATCATTGGTGTCACGCTTACTGGTGAGATTGAGATGATGCACAAGAGATAAGATTCTGGTGATCAAAGGTTCTAAGGATACTATTATGATCCAAAAGAGAAAAAGAAAAAAAAAGACTAAAAAAGAGTTGAATACGAAAGCAAGATGAACTGAAAGATCCAATGATATCACGTGGGTCGGTTATATCTCGCACCGATGACAGACCGATCGGTTTGATTATACTATTAATTCTCGATTTTCCACCGATGTATTTTTATATATTTATATTAAAAATATAAATGAAGATTTTGAAAAGCAAGTTGACAAAATCTAAAAGATATGCAAAATCTCTCGATTTTATATGTTCCCTCTTTATTTTTTTCATACTTTTGAATATATATACATCTCCTCAACCTCCATTGTTCCAAACATCATATTCTTCCATATCATCCAACTTTGAGTATAACATAAAACATTTTTCTCTCCTCTCTATTTCTCTTCAAGAACCCAAATAATATCACATGGCTGAGGTTATGCTACCAATGAAAATGGAGATCGGTAACGCTCCTTCCAAGTTTACATCACCTGATCTTCTTCATGTTCTTGCCGTTGATGACAGTCACGTTGATCGGAAATTCATAGAGCGTTTGCTCAAAGTCTCTTCCTGTAAAGGTACTTTGTTTCTTTCTGAAAAAAACAATAATACCTTTTTTATTTTTTCAATCTTGAAATTTTCTTGACATGCTGTGTTGTGTTTTGGTTCAGTTACTGTTGTTGATAGTGCGACAAGAGCTTTGCAATACCTTGGACTCGACGTAAACGAGAAATCCGTTGGTGTTAAGGTAAATAATCATTTTTTCCCTATTTACTTTTTTGTTCTATTTTTTTAGAACGTTTTTGATATGACTTTAAGATATAGAGGCAAAAGTGTTTAATGGTGTTTTGTTTTATTAAATTTTTTTCAGGATTTGAAAGTTAATTTGATTATGACGGATTACTCTATGCCTGGCATGACTGGATATGAACTCTTGAAGAAGATCAAAGTAAGCAAACATACTTTTAAAACTACTATACAATCTGGTTGATCTGAATATTATGCTAATCTAATCTTGTTTTTCTTTTCCATAGGAATCCTCAGCTTTTAGAGATGTACCTGTGGTGGTTATGTCATCTGAGAACATTTTGCCTCGTATTGATAGGTATATTTTCATGCTCTTAGTTACTTGTATATCTAGTCAAAAAGTTATAGTAAATTTGGTGAATATATTAAGTTGAGAAGTCTTGAATGATGTTTTATATATGGTAAATTTACTTTTTAACCACAAACTGTTAGATAGATTAGTGTGTGATCATCAAGTTATTTGATTTATTTTTTAACTATCAATGAGTATTTGGTGATTGCAAAATTAATCAAAAGTTGAGATTTGGTGATATGTCATGGGTCCCAAGATGATTTTTATGTTTCTAAATCTTTTACTTTTGAGATTTGATTCTGTGTTCTGGTGATTGTGATATTATACAATAAAAATAGTTGGCAATGATCTTTGGTTGCCTAATCTTTGGTAGGTCTATTGTGAAAGCCACCTCACATGCTTTTCTCTGGACCAAATTAAATAAAAAAGAATAATAATAATGTTTTCATAAAATGGCCAACTCAATTTATGACATGTCCATGTTATAGTTGTTTGCTACATACACAACAAGCACAGAAACTTATTGATCCCAAAAGTTTAATAAACCTTACTGGAAAATTGTACTAAATTCAAATTTTATTCTTTTCAGATGTCTTGAAGAAGGTGCTGAAGATTTCTTACTGAAACCTGTAAAACTCTCGGATGTAAGAAGAATAAGAGATTCTGTGATGAAAGTTGAAGATTTATCTTTCACAAAGAGTGTTAACAAGAGAGAGCTAGAAACAGAGAATGTCTACTCCTTGGATTCATCTGCTCCATCGCAGCTTAAACGCACAAAGATCTGAGCTTTTACCAAGCAGACTCACATGACATGAACTTTAAAAGCTTAATCACCTATACAATTTTCCACCCCCTTGTGTCTTATTTTTTGCTGAGTAAAAAAAAACTCAGTGTTGGCAGAGACACAGGGGCTTATTCACATGACTATGTTAGCAATGTAAATGGTAGAGATAAAATTTAAAGCTATTATCATCATTATTATTAGAAATATCATTTTTTTTCTTACAAGAGATTGTAAGCTGTTCTTTTCTAATAATAAAGGAAATGAATCATATCAAAATAAGCTCAAGAGAAAGAGAATTGATCTCAAATGATTGTATAAAGCATTAAAGCAAAGCTCTGGTAATGAGTAACTTGTATTACTATAGCAACATAACAAGTTTAGAGTCTAGACTTTTTAATGGTATTATCATTACATGAATCATTGCAGTCCAAACAACTTATTAGAATTATTGAAACTATATATTTGAATTTTCTGTACCACCTCTTATGTATACACATACCACACTACATCAACATCACCACAGTGTTTCAAGCTTAGAAACGCCAATGCCATAGAAAACAAAGATCAAAGTTCTCAAGTGAACAAAGACAACACTATACCCACATTACCTAAAGCAAGAGTGATGCAAAAGGCAGGGGATGAAAACAGAGAAACAACACACAAACACACCTCTCTTTTTTCCTCAAAACCTGCAAAACATGCTAGACGAACGAGCCAACCGGATAGTGAAACCACCACCTTGAACACTACTCTCCGCCCTGTTCACATCCTGTTCATACGCCTTCCTGCATCCAGGACAACGCCCATCTCCATCACAAATCGTCTTATGGCAGAAAAGACACAGCCTAAACCCGCAAGGACACGGAAGGAAACTCGAATCCGTCAAATCCAAGTCTTCATAACAGATAGGACACGATGAAGGAACCGAGACAGCGCTGTAACGCTTGTCCAACTCCGGAAAGCTAAGCTGCTTCCCTAAATTAGGTAACCCCTGAGGACGAAGGTCATCGTCTGGCCTCCACGCTTGCTTCCTTGATGGCTGCTCTCTCACACTCTCTTCTTCCACTTTAACAGACTCATTCTCCTCTGCTTCTAATGCATCAGCAAGAGCTTCCCAATCATCCACACACTCTTCTCCCTCACCATCATCAACTGCATTATCCTCTTCAGTAATGTTACCAGAGCAAGAGCTACTACTACTACACCCACTGAAGTTAGTGCTGCTGCTGCCTCCTCCCATTGAGCTGTTTGAAGGTGACTCCATATAGCTCTCTTGACGAACATCAACAACATCTCCACCATTGCTGTTATCCTCTTCTCTACGCTCCAGCTCAACAGGCTTTTTGGCACTCTTCTCCTTATTGGTCACAGCAACTAATAGTGAAAACCAAAACCCATTAACTAAAATCCATAAAGGTAACAACTTTAGTAAACAAACAGATAGACACAATTGAAAAGGTGAAGACTTTATATACCTTGAGAGAGCCATTGCTCACGGCGGAGACCGAGTTTGTTCTGTTTCAACTTAGCAGACTTATTGCTCTGTAAATGCAATTAAAAAAAAAAAGAATAAATTTTTCAGAGAAAGAGATGAGATTTGAGTTAAAGAGACTTTACCCTCTTCTTCTTTGGGGAGTCTCTAGCCGTAGGAGCTGAGGTAGGAGAAGCGTTGGTGATCGAATCTGAAATCATGGTTTGATAGAGAAAACAGAGTGGAAGCAATTGAAGAAATTTGAAATTGGGGATTGGAAGATTTCTCAAAAACCCTAATTTCAGATTGGTCGATGGAGAGACTCGTGAGAGAGGAGAAGAAGAAAGTTCAGATTTTTATTTTGTTAATTAATTAAATTTTTTAAAAAACAGAGATAATATAAAAGGATAACGGAAACTCCTCTTCTCCGTTCAGAAATTGAGAAAATGACTATAGTACCCCTAGTCTTGACATTAGCAGAGAAACTAGTAGGTGTGGTGTGGATCTCCTCTCTCTTAAGTCGGTGAATGCGCACGTGTGAGATCAACTATGTATAAGAAGAAGAGTCTACCAATATGGTAAAGTAATACTATCTTGTTACCTTTTAGTTTACACAAAAGATTCTCTGATGTATTTTTTTTTTCTGTGGAGTTGGGTCTATGCACAATTGCAAACTTGTGAGTGAGAGAGAGCTCTTGTATGATTCCTATTTTTATATAAAGCTTTTTTTTTCAGTTAAATTTTTTCCTTTTTGACCAAAAAAAAATATAAAGCTTTTTTTTTTCATTTGATAAACAACTTTTTCATTTGGTTTTTGTGTCTTTTTATATCATTTTTTTCTTTTTCGATTTTTTGACATATCATTGATAATTTATGTTATATAATTAGTCAAACAATAAAACATGTAATAGTTTTTAAATAATTTGACTAATTATAAAACGTTGAAAATTTAGTTTTGGTAAATGAGTTAAATGTTTTTAGTCAATATATTTCAGTTTGGTAACATAATATATATATAATTAATAAAATGTTATAAATTTGGTAAATGACATGATTTTTTTATTGTGTGACATACATGCTAATGCCACAGTTACTTTCAAAACTGCTAAAAAATAGAAAGGAAAAGAATACATTGGATCTTCTTCTTTTTATTCTAATCAACATTGGATCTTCTTTGATTAAAAATTTATAACTGAGTTAAGAGAAATTCACAGAAGCTTCATCATCTGCCACAATCAAATGGTTTTTCTTTTCTTCCTTTACAATTTGATTGGGAAAAACAACCACACAAAGAGAAATCAAGTGATCAAAAACTCAAATGTAAAAAAAAAGGAAAAATATGAATTAACTTTTAGCTTGTAGATTCTGATATGCTTTGAAGAGAAGGCTGCCAAGCTCTAACTTTGTTGGTAGCTCCTGTCTTTATCACTCTCTGCTTTTCATGTATCTTTCTCTGTTAATCAAACCTTAATCTAATCAATATGCTTCCATGAACCAAGTTCAAGATTCTTACAATTCATATGCTTGTTATAATATTTAGCAAATACAACTACTAATTTTTTATTCAGACAAATAAAACTAAATGAAATTTGTATATGTATATACCTGAGAGTCTTTGTCAAAAGCAGATTCAGATCTTAAGGTTAGTGGTTTAATCTCCTCTTCTTCAACAGAAAACTCTCCATGGATCTTCTTCATCTTTTCAGATTTCTTGGCTCTTAATCCTTTCATCACCTCTATAATTAAATAAAACCACACACAAAATAATTTACATAAACAAACCTTCATCTATGATGTTCAAAGTCAAACGTGATGCTGAAGAAACAAATTTGAGAAACCACTAAAACCTAGAGTTTTTTTTTTGTGATAATACCTTCAGAAGAGACAAGTCTATACACATGGCCGAGCATAAGGTTATCTGAAGGACGGAGTAGCTTGATTCTGGTGACGCGGAGAGAGCCACCGTTAGGTACTGAGGAGGAGATGAGGAGAGCAACGTGGTGACCAGGGTGAGACTTAATCACCTCCCTTGCGCTTACTGTTGAGTAAAATCTCTCTGACTTGCCATCTGGTCGTTCTAACACCGTCGTTGCCGTCTCCACCGCCTGACAATTCCCCATTTTCACGGCGGAGAAAAGTAGGAGATAGAGGAGTGAGAGTAAGCGTAGGTGGGAGGTCTATATTTGGTAGAATAGCTTCTTACTTTATATATACTAGGACCATTTGATCAAAAATAAATAATATATATATATACTAGGACCATTTTATTTTAGATCGAATTTATCATTTCTTTATATATACCTTTCATAATTTATTCTCTGTTACCTAATTTTAGTAAATGTATTCGATCAGAGGTTTAACAACACTACAAGGGAGATAAACGCGTCAGTTTAATACCGCTAGCTATATAATTAAATACAATGAATGATAAGTGAGATAATAGAGTTAAGCTAAATAAGAAGTGGAATATTCATCAGCATTGCTCAAATTTTAGTTTATTTTTCAATGTTTTGGATTGTCCGTACAAAGCCAAGTGCTTGCTTGGCTGGAATCTTTCATGGAAAGTAGATTCTCTATGAATGTTAATTAAATCTTTAACCCTTTGATACTTTGAATCTATTAACCAATTTGATTCTTGTATATGCTAACATTTTGATTAAGTTCACCCTAATTAATCAATATATTTCGGTATTTGTAATAGAAAAAACAGCTTAATCTAGATATGCCGAGTAAATTGTGTCATATACTAGATTTAACAGAAATATACAATCAAATCCCAAATTTAGATAATCAATAGTTCTATAGTTCTTTAATTACTGTATGTAATTCTTACAATTCGAATTTGAAGATTTAATATCCTCACAATAATAATGAAATACGTATATGACTAGCAACTTTATAAATCTTGGTATTTTAAAAGCAATGATGAGTGTGTTTTATGAAAATTAAATAAGGAAATGACAACCAAAAATGTAGTAATAATACTCCCTCGTGCAATCAACCTTATTCACATGCTTACTGTACACTTTATCTCGATCTCCTGAAAGCCAGTGTCGTATTAAGCGTTAATAATTGTGTACACTTAATTAATTACGTAATGAGTTTGATCAGCCTTATGAAACAAAGCTTTATTAACTTTTGCTTGACCATTAAATAAGATAACAAGCGAAAGTTGCCCTAATGTCTTTTTCGAGTGTATTTTATTGAGCGAGATCAAATACCTCACGCAAGAGTGAAAGGCCACTCTCTCGTATATTGACCATTTCTTTTGAAAAAACGTAATATCATTATGACCAATTGAGTAAAGAAAAAGATGTTAAAGAAAAAAGCCAATTAATTAACTACTAGATTTTATCAGTATAAGTATCATTAAATCTCTAACCATAATTATCATTATAAGTATTAGGTGAGAAATCTATGTGATGTCACACGGAGATTTATTTTATAAAAATAAATATATCATATTGGATAACTTATACTCCATCCGTTCCATTTTAGTTGTCATTCTAGATTTTTGCACACAGATTAAGAAAATATTTAATTTTATATATTTCCAAGATAAAAACACAATTACCTATACACCTAACCACTTTTCAATCAATAGAAAAGTAGAATATTATATAAAAATAATAAATTTTGCCTCGAAACTCTAAAACGATACTTAATCTGTGACAAAAAAATAAGGCTATAATGACATATATTCTGAAACAGAGGGAGTATTATTTTTAAAATACTGTTTATTTTTGTTTGTCAACAAAATCCTTATACCATATCTACAATGTAGATTAAATGTATCTACATTAATTAATAGATGCTAATAAAATTTTATATTCATTTCAAATTTTCAGATTATAAGTTAATTTAATATACCAATATTAGTTTAAATATATATATATATATATATATGTATTTTATTATTATTTTGTAAGTTATTTGAAATTATAAATACATACAATTTGATATATTTAAAACTAATTAAAAGAAGTAAACACATTTAAACCTAATCATTTACTAAATTAATAAGGTAAATTATAATGATGAGTATGACATTCACAATTTATTTGAAGCTATGGGGGTGATTGGCAAGTGATGTGGCTTTTACTTTTGGCTTTAGAATAGTAGTTGTAGATTTTATTGTTGTAGCTGTAGATTTTATTGCTCTAAATTTCTACTAATAATTTTCACAGCACTAAATATACAACTCTAGAAAAACCGATTTTTAAAGCCATTTTGTTTTCTATTTTAATTTTAGGGTTGTACCTTTAAATAATTTTTTTAAGCATGATTGTTAAACTAAAGGCTGTAGAAGGAAAATGAGCTAAAAACACTCACAGAACTTACGAATCATCTTCTTTAAAAATATATGTATAGTCACAATATGATTATATGGCAATGTTAAGAGATCTTCTCAAACATTTCTCAAACAAGTTCTTTCTGGTAAACTGCACATGCATTTTTTTCTTTATTATTTCTATCTTTTATAAAATTATACTTTTCTTATATTATTGTTGGATGCAGTTATGAAATCTCTATTTTCTAGAGAATTTAGACAATTTAGGTGGTAAAATTCTTTGATATGCATCATACATCAGTGCTTGATGCAGCTATGCATAAACACAAAAATTTCCATATTTTTCTAATTTATCTTTAAATTTGTGGGTTAACTCCCACAAAAAGATCAATTTGTTTTCGATAAATGCTATTTGCACTTAAGTTTATCTTCTTTAATGTTGTTTATACTAGTATATCCTAAATTTATTTCCATGGTACATGGACATTAGTTATAATTTTTCAACGAGTAATTTGATAAAATTTTGTACACCACGTAAATCAAAGAACTAAATCTTATGAAATCTCTATATTCTAGAAAAATTGAGATAACAAAGGTGTAAGACATCCTAGATCTTCATCCTATATATGTGCTGGATGCATCTATGCATTAAAAGAAAAGTATCATATTTTCTATTTTATTTTGAAATCCATGGGTTAACCTCTACAAAAAAGTCGAGTTTTCCGATAAATGTCTGAAGTTTAAGCTCGTTGATGTTGACTAAAAATATATATAATCACATTATTTTTATATTAATGTATATTAAACTTATTTTCATGGCACATGAACATCATTTCTAATATTTTAATAAAAAATTCATATTTCACCTAATTCAGTAACCCCTATAAAATCTATAATTTCTGAAGAAACGAGGATAAATAAGATCTCAGACCTCTTTAATTTTCATCACATGTCATTGCATGATGAAGTTGTGCAATAAAACAAAATACCAAATTTTCTAATTTATCTTACGAAAAAAATCAAGTTTTTTTCCCAATAAATGCTATATATACTAAAGTTTAGCTTCATTAATATTTTTTTAAAAACAAACTGAACACTCTAATGTATATTAATGTATACTAAACATATTTTCAGGTACATGAACATCGTTTCTAATTTTCCAACGAGTTATTTTTTAAACTTCATATACGATTTAACTAGTGTACGTACTAACCCCTATAAAATCTCAATTTTCTAAATTAATGGGAACACTTAAGGTCACAAAAACTTTTTAATCTTCATATTATGTTAGTGCATGATGCAGCTAACCGCATTTAAAATTTATATTTATGTTCTAAACTTATGTTCATGATACATGGAAATCATTTCTAATTTTTAACCAAGGAATTTAATAAAACTCCATATACCACCAAATAATTTAACTAAACCCTATATAATCTCTATTTTCTAGAGAAATATGGACAACTAAGGTATAAAAAATTTCTTGATATTCATCATATATCAATGCTAGACGCAGCTATGCATAAATACAAAAATTTCATATTTTCTAATTCTTCTTGAAATTTGTAGGTGTACTTAAGTTTTCAGATAAATGCCACTTGTACTTAAGTTTATTCTCTTTAGCGTTGTTTAAAATATATAACCACATTAAAAATTTATACTAATGTATGCTAAATTTATTTTCGTGGTACATGGACATCAGTTATAATTTTCCAACAAGTAATTTGATAAAACTTCATATACCACGTAAATCAAAGAACTAAACCCTATGAAATCTATATATTTTGGAGAAATTGTGAAAATAAAAGTGTCAGACATCCTTGATTTTCATCATATATATGTGATGTATGTGTCTATGAGAAAAGTGTTATATTTTCTAATTTATCTTGAAATAAGTAGGTTAACCCCGAAAAAAAATCGAGTTTTCCGATAAATGCTATATAATGAAGTTTAAGCTCTTTCTTGTTGACTAAAAAAAATACCTAATCACATTATACATTTATATAAAGGTATATTAAGTTTATTTTCATGGTACAGAGGTAACGTTTTTGATATTTTAATAAGTAATTTAATAAAACTTCAAATTCCACCTAATTCAGTGGAATAACCTCTTTAAAATCTGTAAGTTCTCGAGAAAAGAGGGCAAATAAAATTCCAGACCTCTTTGATGAAATCTCTATTACCTAGAGAAGCAGAGACAACAGAGGTTCTAAACCTTTTTGAACATCATCATATGTCATTAAATGATTCAAATATGCATTAAAACAATATTTTATTATTATTATTTTTTTTAAAAAAATATATGGGTTAACCTCAACAGAGATATTTAGTTTTTCGGTAAATGTTCTATATACAAAGACTTGTACTCTGTAGTGATGCTATATTAGTGTATGCTAAACTCTTTTTCATGGTACACAGACACATTTTTTAATAATTAATTTAATAAGACTTCATACACACTACTTAGATTAAATACTTGATTAACCATTATGAAATCTTTATTATTAAGAGAAGCAGAGACAACAGAGGTTCTAAACCTCTTTGACCATCATCATATGTCATTAGATGACGAAACTATATATTAAAACAATATTTTCTATTTTTAAATTTTTTTAAATTATGTAGGTTAGCTCTAACAAGAATATTTAGTTTTTCGGTAAATGTTCTATATACTGAGACTTGTACTCTGTAGTGATGTTTAAAAATCCCAAACCATATTTTATTACATGTCTTATTGTATTCTAAATACTCTTTCATGATAAATGAACATCATCCTAATTGTTTAACAATTAATTCATTAAAACTTCATATACTACATACATCAATGATTTAAGCACTAAGAAATATCTATTTTCTGGATAAATAGAGACAAAAAA